GCTATTGAGTGACAACTAGCAGGAATGCCCGTGCTCTGCTGTGGGACTTGAACCCAATCCCAACGGTCCATTTAACACCTCCCAATATTAATTCCTAACAACAAAATAAATACAAAAACAAAATCAGCAGCACTTTCAAATCTTTCTAAAGGAAATCATCCCTGATATTGAGGAGAAAACAAAGTGTGTTAGTGTATTTATCTTCCTCATTTCTTGTATAGTTGAGGAATTTTTGCTTACCATCCGAATGAAAAGTAAAATGACTCTAACACACTCAGTACAAAGAAGCTCGCAAACAAATTATTATTTCCAAACCCATGAGAGATTACTAATCAATCTATTAGAAGTTGAAATTCAACCCAAAATAAATATTTGGGGCATCATAAAAAACCAGCAGCACAACAACCCTGTCAAAATGCATATTTCACAAAACATTTAATCATATCACAATCACAGAAGTAAGGATTTCCAAATGTCACAATATTTAACTAGGCTCCATTTAACTAATGCATAGTTCTTCAAAAAAAAAAAAGGAAGATTTCTTAATTTCAAATTAAATTGAATCACAAATTGAAAAAAAAAAAAAAAGGGAAGATGATTGACTGAGAGGAGAGAAGACCGATAGAAGAAGAAGACATCGACAATTTTCACAGAAATTCCATTTCGTACAACCTTAAATCACCATCGCGAAGACGAATCTTAAAACATACAACACAGAAACAAATCAATTCCCTAAAATTTCGAAATTCAGGATAATTTGACCAAAACCTAGAATAGCTTACCTTCGTGTGTGTATCTTGTGACCAAGAATTTGTAGTTGAAAAACATAATCAAGTTTGGAGTAGTTTATTGAGATATATGAATTTGAAGTGTAGAGCTATTGTATCAAGAAAAAGAAAGAAGAAGAGGAAGACTGAGTTGTACGAAGAAGACGATGACCTAGGGTCAGACATGAAATAACATTAACTAAGCGGGGGCAAATTGTCACTCCATTGTATATATAAATAGCGAATCAATTGATTTTTAGTTTTTGTATATTTTAAATTTCTATACACCCTTTATATTGCAAAACAAGCTAAGGTGCATGCATGATAGTCCTAGTTTTCATTAGATGATACATTATTATAGAAAATGACATTTTCAATTGCACATAAATATGTTCTTGATCACCAAGAAACACTTGATCACTTACCATTAGATTTAATATCAAAAGCAGAGAATAAATATGTGTTTTTAGTATTTTAATCTCAAAACCTTGATATCGAATATAAGTGTGAGTGACCATAAATTCGTTGATCATCAGGTTACAATGAATTTTTAGTCATTAAACAATGAATTCTTAGTAACCAAGTGATAAGAGAGCGAGAGGTTTCCCAGATGAACCGATGGGCAAGTTATGAGAATAGTACAATAAGAAGCTTGCTAACCAAGAAAAGGAATAGTAGTGGAGCCCTAGTGGATTTCTCCTCACTCTCGCTTTTAGCTGGTAAGTGTTGAATTTGGACTTTGGGGCGTTTTCGAATTCACGTGAATTGGCAGCAATAATTAATGATGCTTTCATGTTATATATGATCACTTCCAACATAAATAAATTTAATTATCCCAGAATAATTTTTTTGGTGTATGTTGGAATGGTCTATGCTGAAATTTATTTAAACTACAAAAACGAAAATTCGAACAAGAAATTTCGGATGCAAGAATGAATATTCTTAAGCAACTAATTAAACTACAACAGTTTGTCAAATTTTAATTTAATAATTTAATAAACTTGTAAAACTCTTAGGGGCCAATTGCCCCCCACTTACAATGTCAGACCTAATTCCAAAATCTAACAACATCCATGCTTCATGATATTGCTACGCACCAAACACTCCGGTCATGATTCAGCCCCCCACTAAAATATATATAAGTTACAACATTGCATTTTGTCAAAATATATTAGGATGTGAAAAGCAAAATCTTGCAACGGCTTTTGACGGTAGGTTCTTTCTCATATTGTTAATAACCTTAACTTTCTTCAACATTTTTTGTTTATTGGTATAAACAATATCAAAGAGGGACAAATCGAACACATAACTTCAAGTGAGACTAAGTGCACTTATATATCTCTCTTCCTTTCCTCAATTTTCCCTTATTTCTCCAGCAATAAGATCATCCACGTGTGTGGAATCATGACTAGGCTTTACGAATCACTTAAACCTGCAATCTCAGTGCATGAAGCCATGAACCAGCTACCTCTCATTGGATTGGCGCCAAATGAAGGGGAATGCATGCATGGCTAGCTCATGCATCCAATTTTTCCAATGGGCATATACATACACTGTACCATGTTTTAGGCTGCCAATAATAATATCCATTTTTTGGTTTAAGTTAACCATGTGGATGTGGAGGTGGCCCGTGGGTGGTGGCCGGTGGGTGGTGCCGGACTCGTTGGACAAAACATAAATAAAAAAAATCACTACAAACCTGAGAACATGATGCATGTGAGAGTAAATTAATAAAAAATTATTTTAAGGGTTGACCATCACAATGTATCATCATTCATATAATCAACGATGTTGGCACTTTGGGTAAAGTCGGAAAACGATCTTGTAGTTTATGCAGAAGTCAAAAAGAAAAGGAAAGCGAAAATGTGGGGTGTTTGATTAATCGGATTAAGACTGGATTAAACTACTTAACACTTAGTCTATATTAGGTTGATTAATAACGGAATAAGTTAACATTATATACTTTCTTTGTTGACTTGTTTTACGCAATTTGAAAATGAGAGGCCGGAATAAAACCAACCTAATTTAAAACAAGAGGCTTGAATAAACCTAACCTAAAACCAAAGCGAACCAATTTGAATTAATTTTCTTCAATTAGTCAAAATCAAATCAAACCAAACCAAATGAATCATGTGTATCAAACAGTGGCATATGAGGAAGCCCCACGCAACGCATGGCGCGCATGCTTACCTTGCCAATGAAATTATAAGCATAAGAAAATATAGAAAATTATCATTGCTATTGAATCATTTTCCATCCATCTTTTCTTGTAGTCAATTTGTTCCATCATGATGCTTTCAGATTCGGATGTTCTTTTGCCATGTATAATCAAATTATGTTTATGGTCAAAATCATGTCGGTTCGGTTATATATTTGTTGAGAATGTGAATCTCACATCCGAGAATTCTAACTTTTTTGTAATATTGAATAATGTCCTTTCTATATGCAATTAATATCCATTGTTTATGAACTAACACATGAATATTGGCATCTGCTATTGGCACTGTTCTAAAAATTTTCGCCTAAGCGCTAGGCTGTTGGCCACTGTTCCGATTAATCCCTAGGTGTTTGAATATTAAGAAAGTAAACCTAGACCTACTTAGACATCCGCGTAGCCCGCCTAGGCACCTGTCTAGGTTACGACTCTTACTTAAATAGAAAATTGATAACTTTCATTTTGCATTTTGTTTTGTCAATAAAATGTAAGAGACTTTTTAAATACTTGGATGAACACTCATTACATGCTTGTTCCCCATGTTTTCAATATGTTATAACACTTTATAATCTATATGTCATTTTATTATTCAATTGATGTATCACATACAATTATGTGTTTTCTAAGTATAAATAGGTAATTATTTACATAATGTATAATAAATTTATTAAATCCGCCTACTCTGCCTAGGCCCCAGTTCACCGTCCGACTAGTGTTTAGCGTCTTTTAGAACCTTGGCTACAGGTGAATTGTCTTGATGATTTGGGTATTTCTCTTCAACTCACTGCGTCCTGGTTTCAAATCCCCTCCTCCCCCTTAGTGTAGAATATCGTTTGTACTAGTCTAAAAGAAGAAAACAAATTATAGTTTTAACTTTTGTTTAAGTTTCAAATTTAATGCTAAGAAAAAAAAAATTGTAAATCCCGCCTTAGGGCTCATTTTATAATCATTTAGCTTTTATTTTTTTTTATTCTTTTTTCTTAGAGATCAAAAGAAAATACATGCTTGAAGTGAGGAATAAAGAAGGGTGGAAGGATGGCGTTGGGAGAGGAGTGAAAAATAAAGGAGAATGTACTACTCCATATACATTTCTTCTACACCACTCTCATTACCATTTCTAGCACAAAAACAAACATAAAATGGTCTTCAAACGAAACCCTTAACGTAACCATATAAATGTTTGCAGACTCCAGAGGTTGGATAATAATTTCGGGTCCACTGCCCATTTTAAGTTGAACCCAGCAATCTTTTACCTGGGTCCTCGTATATTTTGATGGTCATGACTCATTAAGGTTTGCATGCCTCTGCTTTATAGTCGGTCAGAAAACGTTGTAAATGATCTTCTTGGCCAGTGACAACCACCTTACACCAACTTCACATTTCCATAAACCCAGCAATAAATTACCCAAAACTAACAGCCCAAAGCAATTATAATGAGAGCTACAGCCTACCACAGCTTCTATTCCAATAAGCACAAGCACCCAAAGGAATTTTGCACCTCAGAACAAGACTTCATTCCAATTAGAGAAACAATTTCGTATCGGGCTCCCGGTATCGAGTACTCTGCATTTTCAATTGTTAGATCTTTGGTCCAAAAAAAAAAAAAAAACCAAAAATCAAGATCCAAGTGTTAAAAACGCCGAACGCTCTAGATTTTTCGTTGTTGTTGGAATGCATAGACTGCATTGGACGATTTTCTACAGCGGGATTCTTGGCTTTAGATACCTAGTCGATGATCAATGACCAAGATATAGCAAAAAATTCCGGTGTATAATGCACCGGGGCATAATAGAACTTTCGATGCAGTGATTATATGAATTACAACCTGAGTGTCATATCTTACGCTTGGACTTGTTCCAATCCAAGAAAGGTGGTGTTGAGTGGTAGGTGCTGGCGTCGCTGGGTCAGCAATGTTCAACTTGTGTTTTTTTGGGTGCATCATGCATGTGGTAGGTCTGGTCAAGGATTCTACAACTTGCTTTCTGCTTGTGATTTGTGAAAGTTGGCAACTTAAATGTAGATGCAAGCAATGTTCAACATAGCCAAGAATCATATCAATCAATTCAATACAACATATTGTTATCGTTCGATTGTAAAAACATACAAGCGGCTTTAATCTAGGCCGCCTTAATACGATTATTCAGCATCAGCTAAACGAAATTGTTACTGAATAGTGACTAGGTAGTTCTAGCATTCAATTGATTACCACAAATTGAGAGAGCACCTGAAACTAGGACCTAACCAGATTTTTCGTCACCACCGAAATTTGATTGCAGAAAATCTGTTTGGTTAAGATGACTAACATCACCCGAGGATTTTACGGCCCATTTCTCGTCATCGTACAAGTGAAATATGTGGATCGATGTATTGGCTACTTTGCCTATAGACTTGCCATTTGGGTAACCTTTCTTGAGGAGTGTTCTGATGACCCCCCCATGAGTGACCACAACTACTCGCTCTCCTGCAATTGGAACAAACCACGATATAAGCATTCAAATTGTTATTTGTGTCGCCCTTGATCTAAATTGGCATTTGTTGTTGCAGCTTAGTTATAATTTGAAAGGTAAAACGTGTCTCGATTGCATTAGAATAGTTTATACAAAAATATAATGATGTAAAAATGGTCATTCCACTCTACGACCTGTGTCACATTCAACAAAGAACTCGTTAGTTTTTCTCAAGGACTCGTGATCTCAAAATGAAAAAATGCATATTGGATCATTCAGTTCACAAACTAACTAAAATTTTATTAAAATATTTTGAAAATTCCATAGCAGTAAAAATACAAATGAGAAATCCCCCTCGTGCTACCGTACCTTTGTGTTTATTGCCAATTCGCTGCAATGAAGATGTGCAGCGTCGATGAAGTTGATCAAGACTTTCTCCACCCCCCTGCACTTGTAGAATAGTGAAATAAACATAAACTTGTATTGTGATATCCAAAGCTAAAATTAATGCCCCTGAGCAGAATAATTTTAGGGTATCCATTATCATAATTACATGTTTTCCGATTTCTCACTCGTTTTAACCATGATCTCACATGCTATGTGACAATAGCCATTACCATGAAAAAACAGTAGAGTCCGTAGATATAGATTATCAATTAGACATCTATTGCATGATTACGCAAGAAAGAACAATACTAATACCACAATCTTATATTTTATGTGTACCCTCTTTCGCCAACCCAAACCAGAGACTAGAACATCAACCTCAGTCGGGTGTGAAGACAGGCAGTACCAAGATTTCAGAATGACAGTAAAAAATCTAGAACTTCAGCTGCAATAGACTAGCAGTAGTGGGAAGGACTTGCCCCATATATACCTACATAGAATGAGCTAGGCTACAAGCCAAGCTGACAATTACCAGGCCTAGTAGAGCCAGATTAAGGCACACAGACCAATTCCATAAATCTCTCATTGGAGTACTTTTGTAATGCGGATGTTAGATTACTTACAAAATTCAAAGAAGTACCAACTGCTATATACTTAGGCCCAAAGTACAAGAAGATTGCTTACTGGGATCTCTTGACATGTCTCACGAGATAAAAAGGCCTGGTGAGCCTGAGGTTTAAGTTTGGCAAGTTCATGGTAAACAAGTCCTTGAAGATCACCTAAATGCCTTTCTCGTAAATCAGGATCTGTTACAACCTGAAATTTTACCCAACAGTCTTTACATATGATATACCGAAAAAAAATAAAATTTCTCTCATCCAAATTATGCATTTGGCTTCATATTAATAAATTGATATATCCAATTCCAATTTTCGGTGGCATGTATTAGATGAATTGATTACCAAGACTTTGACTCCATAGTTTTACTTCACTTATTGCCAAACCACAGTAAATTTATATTTATATCATGCAGCTTCCAATTTCATGTCTGTCTGTCTTTCTCGTTTAGAGAATCAAGAAAACACTTGGTGGAACTATCTACATTATTTGTTATTGCAATAAAACCAGTACTATCTTTTATGGAATCTACTTTAATAGATGCAACAGGGAGGTAAAAAAAGATTATCTACCGTTAGCCCACCACACTTGGATGCAATTATCTGTGCAGTCTCATAAGCTCGACTCAGGTCAGAAGAATATACAAGGGAGATTTTGGGATCCTTGGATAATCTATTACCCACCTTCAGGGTGCAAACAAAAACTTTGTCAGAGATTAACAAGTAAAAGATATGGCTTAAAACAGTCGTGTGTGTTACTCAAAAAATGGGGATCCCTTCCCATAAAGATTCTGTGTGTATATACAATATATATAGTTCGTAACTTACTGCAGCTGCTTGCTGCCTCCCAGCATCGTTTAACTCAACATCCAAATGACCCTGCCCAACATGAATTTAGTTTTTAGAAAAGAAGGGGTATTTCTGTGTTTCTACAGGAACCATGAGAAGAAAATAATAATAAAAAAGAATTGGAGGTTATTAGAATTGGTGGCCACTCTTTCTAGGGAATTTCTTTTAGCTACTGTAGCATCCCAAGCTTGGCTGCCGCCGTGGCAGCCACCCCCAAAGTCAGTGTTCACTAATCGACCCGAACTTGATTTTTTTTTTTTTTTTTCTCTTAAAAAGAGCAAAATAGTGTCTTCCATAGGCAACCATCTAAAGCACCTCATTCTCTTTTCTCCTGCAGTTCCTTGGGTGTGACATAAATGCCTCTAAGAAAGAGCAGTGCATGTGATGAGTGACCATTTTTAACAGGAAAGATAACCGATGTCATGCCAAGGGACACTTTAAATCATTTTACTGAAGTTCAACGGAATTAAGCGACCCATTTCGAAATTTTATGAACTAAACACAAACATCGGTCAAAGTTCAGAGGAAAATGTTCATTAACCACGAGGTCAATTACATAGTCACGAAGCAGCGGAAAATGTTTGTTGGGGATAAAACAACAACACTATAATCCCATAACAATTTCCGATAGAATACTACACAATGCATCACTTGTAACCTTAGATACCATTTTCATTCTCTTAAGAACTACTTGCTTAACAAGTTCAATATTATCGCAGATTCGCAGAGAAAACAAGCCGCGAAATTTGGGATATTAACATAAAATTTTAGATTGTGCTATGAGCTGACCTAAATCATGCACCTCTACTCATCAAACAACTAACAAAACGACCTAGTTCAAGTGAAAAAGAGGACCTGTATTCTACGGTCAGCGTTCCAGGCCGTTTCGCCGTGGCGAACTGCGATGATCTCCGCGTAATCCGAACTCAAACAGCTGCATTGAATTCACAGGATTAACAATAAATAAAATTGAATCCAAAGCCTTCAATTTTCAACTTATTACTTTTTCCAGCAATCGAAGATTCGATATACAAACCCCAATTGACGAACCATGCGATTGGAAGGAAACGGAGGATAGAGGTGCAAGGAGAATGAGAAGGAGATCGGACCTGGAATCGGCGTCCGCCATGGATGAATCGGGAACTGACACCGCCGCCGTGGATGACTACTCGGCCGTACTGAGCCAATGCTGAGCTGAGAGCTCCGTGAGGCGCGAGGGGGTTGAGTGAGAGTGAGAAAATTTAGAGTGCTCATTTCATTCATTAATTTTCAGGATCCGAAAGGAATGAAAAGGAATCTTATTCCTTCCGAAAATAGTGGAATCTAAATTGTTGGTAAGAAGACAAGGAATCTAACTTTTGTCGCAGGCCTTGATTTTCCCACCAAATCATGTCGCAGCCCAAAAGGGAGACGGTTTAATATGAACAGAAATGGGCTTTTATTGGGCTAAACTATGTTTTGGTCCTTGTATTAGTGAAATGTGGCTTTGATTTATTTATTTATTTAGAGAAGTATCACTTCGATTTACGAAAGGGCAATGACTTATCAAAATCATTTCGTTTTTAGCTTTGTTTCTAGCTTTTTTTTGAAAACTGAAGATTTGTTAAGCATGAAAACTAAAACCAAGAAATTAAAAACTACTTTTTTAAGTTTTTAACTTTTGATGGTTTTGATTTTTTTACTTTCCATTTTTTAAAGAAATAAAAACATAAAACTGAAATGGTTATCAAACAAGACATTACTGTTAAAAATGGCACATGAGTGAGGATATATGAAATGACAATGGATAAACAGTTTTTAGGAATTAGTTTTCATATATATTATCATTTCATGTATAAAAGTATATTTATTTTTAAGATTTGTTATTAGCTCTCCGAAAATAGTTTTGCACTTGTCAATCTTTTTTTCCATCTGTTAAGGAGGAGGATTACGACTTTTTTTTGGGGGGGGGGGGGGGGGGGGGGGGATACTTCCCTCATTCCAATTAGATAAACTATTCCAGCTCACACGATAGTGACACACCCCGACCGAGATCAAGGTATGCTAGCCGTTACGTGAGAGTGGCGTAGCCATGTGCACAGTGCGGAAGCAATAATGATAGGAAATATACAAATAATTAAAAACTGAATTACTAGAGTGCACTACTAAACAGGAAGTGATAAGAGTTAGATACAAAAGTAAATTCTCCTAATCAGAGCATAATAAGTCTAGGTGCAATCCAGTAGGACAAGTATTAGTTACACAATACTAGGAATATCCTACTATTATTTAGAAAGGTCAGAACTGCCTACTTCCTCAAGCCACCAACAACAAGCTTACTTAAAACCTGGAGGGGCGCAAAACAGAAAATGTGAGTGGGCAAAAACAAATGTTTTAAAAAACCATTTCATTTATCAACATAACTAATCCCTCGCTGTAAAACATGTACAATTTTTCCCAGAATCAAGATATAAGTATATATATAATCATATATGAAAATATATCAACTCAATTCATACTTCACATAATCATATTTATATGTATGCCATGCCAAGATAAAACAGAGTAAGCAATTCAAGTAAGAATAATTTCATAGAAATATAACATGTTAGCCGGAACCCCTGTGGTAATCTGTACGGCTGAAATCATAGCTCATAAGTCACTATAGCCGAAGTCACTACAATGACCTATACGGCAACTTCACAAGAGTCGGAACCAAATGAAAAGGTCTATACGACAATAATTGGTGTAATACAATCATGCTCAATAATACTCTAACATAATAGTTAGGCGATAAATCGCTAGTCACATACGAGTCGGAACCATAAATAAGGTCTTTACGACAAGACTGTGCACCTAAATTGGATCCAATGTGAGCATATGGTGCGGGAGGTGACATAATAAACAGGCATGTGCCATATCTATGGCTAAATCACAATCACCCTAAGCGCAGTTTTATGAGTTTAACATTATTCAATCACATATCGCATCATCGATGATTCAAATAACCAAACACAACTTACCTGAACTTACCTGAGCGTCCACAGCACCACATTTATATATATAAAGCATCACATACCAATTTATACTTGAATTATAACTTATATGCATGGCATTTATGGCATACTATCATTTAAACACATATTTCTGGGAAAATATCAAGCATATAATATATACTGAAAACCAAAAGCCCACTCACTGGTAAGTCGAAGGGTCGTAGCCCCCGAGTTGCCCTTGTATACGCTTGTCCTCAGGATAAGTTTCACCTATATGCGAATTAACTATAAAAACGTTATTCTAAAGCACATAGGCAAAACTAGCTAATAACTTCTCATACATAGCTCAAAATGGGCATATGAATATACCACGGTGACCTACACAACCTCAGGGATCATCCCAAAATTTTCAGATTAATTTTTGGACCCCTCACGCACCGCCATGCGCCGGCAAGTGCACGGCAAGGCGTGCGGCCACGCGCAGGGAATCCTGACGGATTCTCTAACTGCTGTTAGGAATATTCCCCGAAATATTCCATTAAAACTCAACGGTAACTGTTAACCCTAACTAACGACGTTAGCATATTCCGTCAAAACTGACGGAATATTCCCCTTTCTTCTCCGGTGAGTCACCGATCGCCGGCGACTTCGCGGGTTTCTGGGTAAAACTTTAAGACCACTATTCTCCTTCATTTCTTCACCATTTTTCATGAAATTGGTACCAAAATGAAGCTAACAACATGTAGAATCACATTATTCAAGTTTCAAGGCTTAAATTCTGCTAGATTTCAGACTAGACAGAGTAAAGCCTCGAGGCTCGCAATATAGCACATGTTGTGGAAGATGTGATCAAGCTTCACCAGAGAGTAGAGCAAGTTAATCTTCAAGACTATTACAATGTTGAGATAGATGAGGAGATAAGCTTATAGTCCATATTACATTAGGAGACTCACGGATCCGACACTCATTGAACCCCGATCGTGTTTGGTGTTTTGGAACAATTTGGATACCTACCATATACTGAATTTGGAGGAATTTGATGTTAGAGAAAGCCAATGCAGCACCAAACTATGAGTGAAGTTCTTCCAATTTAATCACACTCTCTTGCGTGGTCTGAATTCAAATTGGAAATGATAGAAATTGGGTGCTGGAGCGGCTTTTGAGACGTGGTGGTGCTACGATGGTTGGCGATCGAGGAGGGGCGTTGGGTGTTGGGGATTTGCGGAGTCGGTAGTGATGGTTCTTAAAATTTCTACGGGAGAGGGGTGCTGCCTAATGGTGATATTTGGAGTTCTTGGGTATTTTCATTTAGTGATAATTGGCTTTTTAAAATATGTAATAATTTTTTTAAAGCAAGAAAAAATTGAAAAAGAGATGTAGGGTTATTTTAGAAATAATGGCGGGTGGGAAAAGAGTTGTATTTTTTCACTTTTTATGGTGAGTGTAAATATAAGATGGTTGATGAAATAAGACATTGGAATGAGCATACCACCATTTAAAACTAACGACAAAAAATCTGAGTATATAGAATACTCCAGAACATAGTAGAATTTTTGGATAGATTGCATTTTTTAAATGATAAATTATCTTATGCATGAACTTCTTCCAATTCAAGAATCATATCAATTAAATGGGTGCATGAACCATTCGATTGTAAAAACATATCGCCGGCGTTAATTTAAGCCGCCTTAAAGAGATAATTCAGCATCACCTAAATGAAATTGTTACTGAATAGTGACTGGGCAGTTCCAATATTCAATTCATTATTACAAATTGCGAGAGAACCCGAAACACGGTCGAACCAGATTTTTCGTCCCCACAGAGAGCTGTTACAGAAAATCTGTTTGGTTGAGGTGACTAACATCACCCAAGGATTTTACGGTCCATTTTTCGTCATCGTACAAGTGAAATATGTGGATCGATGTATTGGCCACTTTGCCTATAAAATCGCCATTTGAGTAACCCTTCCTGAGGAGTGTTTCTATGACTCCCCCATGAGTGACCGCAACTACTCGCTCTCCTGCAATTGTAACAAGCCGGGATATAAACATTCAGATTGTCATTTGTGTCACCATTGATCTAAATTGGCATTTGTTATCCCGGCTTAGTTATGACATGTGTTGCGTTCGACAAAGAACCAGTTAGTTTTGTTATGTACTCATGTAATCCCAAAGAAAAAGTTTACAAATTCCATAGCAGTATAAATACAAATGAGACATCTGCCCCGTGATAATATACCTTTGTGTTTATCGCCAATCCGCTGCAACGAAGATGTGCAGCGTTGATGATGTTGATCAAGACTTTCTTCGGCACCCTGCATGTGTAGGATAATGGAATAAACATAATTGTGTATTGTATGATTTGGCAAGAAAGAACAATACTGACATTACAATCTTATATGCTATGAGTCATCTCTCTTCGAGTGCGAAGACAGGCAGTACCAAGATTTCAGAAGACAGTCCAAAATCAAGGCGCACGGATCAATTCCTTAAAATCTCTCATTGGAGTACTTTTATAATCCGGATGTTAGATCTACTTACAACATTCAAACAAGTACCAACTGTTATATGCTTAAACTCAAAGTACAAGAAGATTGCTTACCGGGAAATCATTACTCATGTCACCAGATAAAAAGGTCTGGTGAGCCTCAGGATAAAGTTTGGGAATTTCATGGTATACAAGTCCTTGAAGAACACCTTTATGCCTTTCTCGTAGATCAGGATCGGTTACAACCTGAATTTTAACCCAAAAGTCCTTTTACATTTGCCTTCAGACTAAAATTTGATTTGATCCAGTACCAATTTTCTGTAGCATGTATTTAGCTGAGTTGACTCCATGTACTTATTAGCAAACCGCGGTAAACTAATACACGCAGCTTCCAATTTCATGTCTGTCTATTTTTCTAGATTAGAGCATCAAGAAAGCACTTGCTGTACTACATACAGTATTTTTAATGAAATCCGCTACTACCATTTACGGAATCTGCTTTCCTTTAGTAGATGCAACAAGGAGGTACAAAAAAAAACAAATTTACCTACCTTTAGCCCACCACACCTAGAGGCAATTATCTGTGCAGTCTCATAAGCTCGACTGAGATCGGAAGAATATACGAGGGAGATTTTGGGATCCTTGGATAATCTATCACCCAGCTTCAGGGCATAAACGAAAAATTTATCAGACATTAACAAGCAAAGGGTAAGACTAAAAACTGTCATATGTGCTCCTCAAACAGCATGTATATATGCAGTTTGTAACTTACTGCAGCTGCTTGCTGCCTCCCAGCGTCATTTAATTCAACATCCAAATTCCCCTGC